ATTTTTTCGCTGAGACACAATTTTCAAGTGACTGTAAACAATACAAATCGCGCTCAAATAACAAAACGTTCTGAAGAAAGTTATGGTCAAAAATGTCAACTTTCTAGTGGAAACGTCCGATGGTACCTGACAACACTCAGTGTTGCTAAGGCTCAAAATATAAGTAGTGCCCTCGTAATACAAAAGAGGAAAATCTGCCGAGTAAAATAATTGACGTGGGTTTTAACGCACGTTCGCAGATGCGCTTGCACACGCGCTCGCGTGCGCACTCGCCTGCGCGCTCGCCCTTCGAGCCGGTAGGAAGCGCGGGTCCGCCGTCGACAAGTGACGGACAAAATGTCACGTCACAGTATATTCCTCTTCCTAGTTACCTGCCGTACTTCCGTTTACAATAAGCCTTTATCTCTTACCCATTCCACAAAACTCCTACCTCTATATTTCCTATAGTTTTATCCTTATTACATCTTTCCCCCTCTTTCCCCTCTATCACCGTTCCTCCCATTTTCCCTATTCTTATATTAAAATCCCTTCCTATTATTAAATTTTCTTCTCCTCCTTCCCTTATGCATCTTTCCAACTTTTCCTCCAGGTTAATTGAAGATATGAGAAAGGAAATGCGAGGTTGGTTAGAAACAGAAATTAGAGAGCTAAAAAGGGAAGTATATAATGGCATGGAAAGAGAAGTCAAAAGGCTTAAGGAGGAATGGGCGGAAAAAATAGAAGAGGCAGATATAAGAGTAAAGGGAGTGACAGAAAAATACAGAGAGATGGAGATCAAACTAGAACAATTAGAGAGAGAGAGGTTAGAGAAAATACAGGGAGCAGTAGGAGGGAAGAGAGCGACCAGGAAGAGGCTAGGAGTATGGGAAAGGGTGGAGGAAGTACAGCACGTATACAGGGACAGGATCAGTTATTAGTGAAGGAGGGCTTAGCTATAGAGAGGTCAATACATTAAAAAGATGGGTAACAAATAGTGAAAGGAAGGAAAGGAAACTGAATTTTGTTATTAAAGGGATAAATAGAGAGGAAGTACCTAGTGACAAGGAAAAAGGAGAAGACGAGAGATATGGATGAAAGAGTGGATAAAGGAGAAGTTAGAGGTGGACTGTAATACAGTAGCGGTTAGAGAAAGTGGGGCAACGTACCATATATGTAGTTAAGAGAGAGGGTTGAGGAAAAAAGGAAATTATGAAAAACGAGCACAAGTTAAAAGGGGGAGAATATTCATAGAAAATGATTTAAGCTGGGAGGATAGGAAAATTCAGGAGAAAATGAACAGATGGGTAAAGGAATAAAGGGGTAAGAGATAAAGGCTTATTGTAAACGGAAGCACGGCAGGTAACTGGGAAGAGGAATATACTGTGACGTGACATTTTGTCCGTCACTTGTCGACGGCGGATCCGCGCTTCCTACCGGCTCGAAGGGCGAGCGCGCAGGCGAGTGCGCACGCGAACGCGCGTGCAAGCGCACCTGCGAACGTGCGTTAAAACCCACGTCATTTATTTTACTCGGCAGATTTTCCTCTTTTGTATTACGAGGGTACTACTTATATTTTGAGCCTTAGCAACACTGAGTGTTGTCAGGTGCCATCGGACGTTTCCACTAGAAAGTTTGACATTTTTACCATAACTTTCTTCTCTCCTCCTCTTCTTTTCCTATTTCTATTCTTTTCACACCCCTTCTACCCTCACTCTACCTAAACCTACTTTTATCTCCTTTTATTTACCCCTTTGTTTCTTTGCCCATCTGTTCATTTTCTCCTGAATTTTCCTATCCTTCCAGCTTAAATCATTTTCTATGAATATTCTCCCCCCTTTTAACTTGTGCTCGTTTTTCATAATTTCCTTTTTTCCTCAACCCTCTCTCTTAACTACATATATGGTACGTTGCCCCACTTTCTCTAACCGCTACTATATTACAGTCCACCTCTAACTTCTCCTTTATCCACTCTTTTATCCATCTCTCGTCTTCTCCTTTTTCCTTGTCACTAGGTACTTCCTCTCTATTTATCCCTTTAATAACAAAATTCAGTTTCCTTTTCTTCCTTTCACTATTTGTTACCCATCTTTTTAATGTATTGACCTCTCTATAACTAAGCCCTCCTTCACTAATAACTGATCCTGTCCCTGTATACGTGCTGTACTTCCTCCACCCTTTCCCATACTCCTAGCCTCTTCCTGGTCGCTCTCTTCCCTCCTACTGCTCCCTGTATTTTCTCTAACCTCTCTCTCTCTAATTGTTCTAGTTTGATCTCCATCTCTCTGTATTTTTCTGTCACTCCCTTTACTCTTATATCTGCCTCTTCTATTTTTTCCGCCCATTCCTCCTTAAGCCTTTTAACTTCTCTTTCCATTCCATTATATACTTCCCTTTTTATCTCTCTAATTTCTCTTTTTAACCAACCTCGCATTTCCTTTCTCATATCCTCAACTAACCTCTCCGCGATTTCTCGTAGTTCCTCTTTTGACCTATCCTCCTCTCCTTTTCCCCTAATATTTGCGAATGTTACCTTTTTTCCTTCTGTTAACTTTTTTTGTCCCGTTTCCTGCTTGGTCCTAGCTCCTCTACCTGGCCCCCCCGCTTACCAAACCGCCCGTCTCCTTTTCCGCCATAATCTCTTTCCTCGCGTTCTATCTCCAGCCTCCTGTTTCTTCTATGCATTCTAACGCCTGTCTCCGCCTCCACTCTCTCGTCTTCTTTATTATCTTTTCTCGTGAAATCACACTCTCTAATCTAAATAAACCGCAAGAATTGCCTATCCATACTATTAATTTTGCACTCTTTCCACACCGCGTACACACGCATCCACGCCACCTAACCAAGTCCCTATTTACAAAAAATATTAAAAATTAATCTTACAAATATTTTGTAAATATTTTATTTATAAATATTGTGTACTGTCTGGGAAAGAAATAGATCATTTATTAAATTAAAAATTATGATCTTTTTTGGAGTTGTTGTTTTTCTTGATAATAATATTATGCTAATAATGTATTGCGAGATAATTTATTATCAACGAAAAGAATTTCTTAAAAAGATCATAATTTTTTATTTTAATAAATAATCCGTTCCTTTATCTTTTACATCTCTTTATATATGTTTATCTCCGTTATGTTATATATGTACTTATTTGCGCAATATATAATTTATAATATATAACAAATCATAAATTTATATAGATATAAAGAACAGTGTAAACATAAACGGAGATATAGTTCATGCATTTCTGCAGGAATATATAATTTTATACGCAACAAGAAAAAAATGCAATAAATTTCCACACAGTTTATCAGTGACTCTTTTTATTTCAAGCGCACGCGCGCGCTTTAAGCGTTACCGACTCAGCGTCGATAAGTCAAGTCACTACTATGACCAGCAAATTAATATTCCGCACTGTACATACATATTTCAATATGTATATAAATATATATGTATTTTATTTATAATTTGATTTATATTTTAATATAGTTAATAATATTGTTTTATTATAATTTCGGTGAAATAAAATTTTAATATTTCTTTAGCTTATAAAAAGAGCTTCTTATTACATACATATACATATATATATACACTACACAGCAAAATTATCGCAACAAAATTTTTCATCGAAATTTTGCTATTTTTCAAATGCGCATAACTCGGTCAATTTTCATCGTATCGAGACGATTTTTTTTCATTTTGAAGGTAATTATCTGTACTTTAAGAAAAACTTAATGCGAAATTAGGTGCAAGTCGATCTCCATGTTTTGATAAAGCCCAAGCATTTTTTTTCTTAAAAAATTTAATTGTTTGACGCGCTACCTGGATCGCCCCGATTTTTTTTCGAAAATACCACGTAGACCATTGTAAAGTGCACTTTTCAACAATTTGAAAAAAAATTCGAGTCTCTAGGATTTTTTTTGACCGAGTAATGCCATTTTGAAGTTATTCAGGCGTTTTTAACTAATACCGCCAGCATTAGCATTACCCGATACGTACCTCGAGGAGGTTGCTGGTCGGACTTTACGCATCATTTTGGCCCTGAAAAGAGCCGATTATGTAAACCATTTGTCAAATTAGGGACTCCGTGGCTCGTCACTTCCACACTATTTTCTGACTCCAAACCCTATTTGCCTAATGCCAGAATGGTCAAGTGTTAGAGGCATTCAATACCGTGTATTGCCATCTCGGCGTCGGATAACCTCTCCTAAATGTTCTTGCATATTAATGCATGCTCTGATTGAATCTTGAGGTATCTCGTGCCAGATTTCATGTAGAGCTCTCTCAAGCTCTTGCAGATTAGCAGGAGTCCTCTCCAAGTTACGTAATCTCCTACCCATTATATCCCAGGGTGGTACCCAGTTGGACACGACTCAATTGGACACGAGCCACTCACAGCGCTTGAGACTACAAAGCTCCTAAGCACCGATCGCTGTGATTGGTGGTGTCCAATCGAGCCGTGGTCAATCGGGATCACCCCCATGTCCCATACATGCTCAATAGGATTGAGGTCTGGGCTGTTAGATGGATGAGGCAGTAACTGTATATTGTTTACTGTCAAGTACTCACGAGTTACCCTCGCAACATGGGGAAGTGCATTATCCTGTATCAAGATGAAATCACGGCCTATTCGTCGACGCATTGGAATCACGTAAGGACGCAAAACTTCGTTTATGTAACGTACCGCTGTGAATCCTTGGGGTTGGAGAATCACTAGATCTGTTCGATGGTTCATTGATATTCCATCCCATATCATAACGGATCTTCCACCGAACGCTCGAGTTGGATCAACATAATTCGCTTCAAAACGCTCTCGTCTAATTCGCCAAATTCGGATACTAGCATCATTTCCAAACAGACAAAATCGAGATTCGTCTGTAAATAATACATTTCTCCACTATCTGGCCGTCCAGTTTCGATGATTACGGGCGTAACGTAGACGAGTTCATCGATGCACTGTTATCAACATGGGCACTCTAGCACGAATTCGTGATCTTAAACCTCTTTCATGAAGGCGTCTTCTTATCGTTTGAGTACTAATTTATCTGCCTGGTAAAGCTTCATTCCCGATTTGTCGCTCAACCCTTGTTAGGACGCGAAGAGCTTCATTGACAATGTTGCGATCCTCCCGATTCGTAGTTTTTTTTTTGCGTAGAAGGAGAAAATCTTCTACCTTTCAGCGTAGTGATCCTCCCATGGAGTTTGAACCCGCTGGGGGAAGGCACTCATTTCGCGCACGATGGGTGTGTTGGATTCAAACCTTCTCTGGCGAACAGGGCTCAGACTAGGTCCGACTTTCTCCCAAGGGTTACTGACAGGGACCAATTCCATAAGGACAGGCCCTGTTTTCACACCTCCATGTGGCTACTCGCCGAGATCCAATGTCATTATTTGCCCAATGTTACGCCGGGTCCGCCTACCAACTAAAAACTCCCCCTGTCCTGAGCTACCGCTGTGAGCCATATGCCAGGTGCCCGAAACTGCCGTAGCATCAACTTCAGGCATCTGGCGGCTCTGGTGGGCTATTTGCCCTCTACTCTTGCGCGATATCTCTCCTTATTGCTGACCAACATAGGCTCGCAGTGTCTTCTCGAGTCGCAACGGAACGACTCGGTACTCCCAGTGTCGCACGGATCTACTCGCTGTATCCGGATCTTTCTTACTGTCAGTTTGGGACACGGTTGCGGGCTAATTCGCATCCATATCCTTAAGAGGGAGAGGTGGGGCCCGTTCCGCCGCCTGCCGGGCCCTCTCCGCCTCTTCTTTCGCAGTCATTAGGCTTACGCTAAATCTCGAAAACGCTGTCCAGTTATCGCCATTCTCCAATATCTTACGCACTATTATCGGCGGCTCTAAATCTTGGCCTATAACCCCGCGGAGCACCTCTCTTTCTGCTTCCCACGCCGGGCAGAACATCAACGTGTGTCTTGCACTATCCCATCCATCCGAGCAATGAGCACACCTCGCTGTTAAAGTTTTTTTAATCCTATATAGGAAGTCACTGTAGCAACCATATCTTGTCAGCATCTGCGTCATATGAAAATTGACGTAGCCGTGTCTACGTGTGCCTCCAGGCATGGCGCCACGGCCTCTCTGGTCATCTTACCGAAGCCTCCTGCTCTCATCGCTCGCATCTTCCAAGTTGCCATTGCGTTCTCGCTTGCTTGTAGCCTGAGGATTGTACTGATTTTGCCTGTGATCTCCACTCCGCGCTCTCTCAGCTCCTTTTTCCGAAGGTATAAGTTCTTGTATTTTTTCGCCATTAACTCTACAGGGACGATTCCTGCCAGCATGACCGCTGCCTCGAAAGCCATAGTTCTATACGCACTTATGACCCGTAGCTACTAGCAATTTTGCCTTGGACCCTATGTAAAATCATCAGGATTCTCCTGCTATGTGCCGCGTCGTCCGCCCAGACAGGGGCCCCGTATAATATCATTGAGTATAGAACCCCCGCATATAGCTTTCTCTTGTCCTCCCTGGCACCACGAAGACTCGGCATTAATCTACTTAGTGCATGGGTAACCGCGTCCAATCTGTTAGCTAGTTTGTCGAAGTGTGCTATAAACGACCACTTACTATCCAGGTGTAGCCCTACGTATTTCATGGAGTCCTTGACTTTAATTAGTTCTCCCTGTACCGTCATGACAGGTAATGGACGGGGCACTCTTCTAGGAACGAAGACCATCGCCTCGGTTTTGTTCGCAGCTAGTTCAATACCGATACGATTAATTTCCCTAGCAATCATAGCCACTGCTAGTTCCACACAAGCCACTGCCTCGTTCACGCATTCTCTGGCAGTCACTACCAGTGTGTCATCCGCGTACGCTATTGCATAGCAACGATCCGGGAGTTCAGTCTTCAATATGTCATCGAACGCGACATTCCACAATAGGGGTCCCAGAACTGAGCCTTGAGGAACCCCTCTGTTAGTTTCACGACTGACCAGATTTTGATTGCTGTCCACATAGGTTATTTTTCTATCATACAGATAGCTTGACACCATGTTTATCAAATAATCCGGCACTTTATTATTCACTAATGCTCTCATAATGATTTCCCACGGGATCGTGTTAAACGCATTACGGATATCTAGGCTAACAGCCGCAACTACTCCACCCGAGCCGGTGCCCTCATCTGAGATTTCGCGAAGTCTCAAGATTGCATCCACTGTTGACCTCCTGGTCCTGAATCCGAATTGGTTCGGAGACAGGCCGTTGCTCCCTTCTAGGAACTTATAGATCCTACTTGCCAGAATTCTTTCCAAGAATTTGCCTCCCTCGTTCAGGAGACAGATTGATCGATATGCCGAGACCAACTCCTCCGGTTTACCCGGCTTCCTTAATAGCGTTAGTTTCGCCGTCTTCCAAACGCTCGGGAATATCCCTGATTCCAGACAGGCCTGGAAACAATCTCGCCATATCATCCGCATGATATCTAGGGATCCCTTGATCAGACTTCTCCATATACCGTCGGGTTCAGGGGCCTTTTTTTGACTACCCATTCTTTTTGCAATTATCTCCAACTCTGGTATGGTGACGTTCCATTCTTCTTGCCATGGTCTCTATCCCTGTCCCTGCCGGGCGGGAAGATTCTTCTATTATTTTGGAGACAAAACCTCCATCAAGCGCTTCGATAAGAGGCACTGCCGCTGGCCTCAGCTTTTCCATCACTATTTTGTATGGAAGTCGCCATATATCTAACTTTATGATCTCTAAGTTCCTTCCATGCCTTTTGTTTGGCGATTGCGATTTGCCGTTTATATTTACTGCATGCTCTAATTCTTGCTGGGGTGATCCCGATTGATCACAGCTCGATTGGACTTGGGCACCACCAATCACAGCGACCGATGCCTAGGAACTTTGTAGTCTCAAGCGCTGTGAGCGGCTCGTATCCAATTGAGCCGTGTCCAACTTGGATGCCACCCGTTGTTGCTTCGCCCTACTAATATGTGTCTTATTTCGTCTTTTTTTTGGCACGTGTGAAGATTCTTCTCTTTTTTATACATTCTTTCCTTAGTTCTGCTAGCTCTATCGACCACCAGTACATGGGGCGTTAATGGATCTTTCCTCTCCTTGGCATTGCCATGTCTGAGGCTGCTGTATAGATCCTTTCCAACCATCCGGCCATGCCTTCTGGGTCCGCATTCCTTGTTTCCGTTAAGGTCCAAGTACCAAATATAAATCTCGACTTGAATAATACATCCATATCTACACTGGCAATCCTCCAACCTGGAAAAAATCTCCTCTTCCTGTTATCGACAGCCCCTCTTGGCCTGCGAGACCCAATCGACATCTCAATTCTTCTATAGTCAGAGAATGTTATGGTGTCCACTAGGACTGCCTAGTCTCTGACTTGCGGCAGCATGGCGGTTGACGCCTATGAATCCACTACCGATTTTCCGCCAACGCCGACATACGTGGCGGTGTGATCATTGTTGAGTAGAACAATCACCTCCGCCGATGCCGCGAAATCAATCAAGAGGTCTCCTCTTATATTGGAAAGACCCCGGTCCCACATGGGTGGCACCCAGTTGGACACGGCTCAATTGGACACGAGCCACTCACAGCGCTTGAGACTACAAAGCTCTTAAGCACCGGTCGCTGCGATTGGTGGTGTCCAATCGAGCTGTGATCTCGGGATTACCCCGTCCCATATGGGAGATCGTGCATTAAAGTCTCCCAATATTAGAACTTTGCCACCCCTAAGGGGCCTCAGTGCTGTTTCTAATGATGATAATACTCGCGAGTACTCTTCCCCTTTTAGGCTAGGTCTAAAATATACACTACAGATGTTAATACCTCTATATTTTGCAATTACATATCCGTAACCTTTGTTAATGAGGCTGCAGCCAAAATCTCCTCTGGAGCAATATATTGCAGCTCCGGAAGGAATGTCCGCGGAGGGGGTGATTCCGATTGACCACGATTCGATTGGACACCACCAATCACAGCGACCGGTGCTTAAGAGCTTTGTAGTCTCAAGCGCTGTTAGTGGCTCGTGTCCAATTGAGCCGTGTCCAACTGGATGCCACCCTCCGCGGAGCCGAACCACCCCTCGTCTCGACTCCGCACCTCATATAGTTGCGCACCGAAAGAGTAGCTATCCCCACGTTTTCTTCATTCATCTCATGTATTAATATATCCTGAGCCTCCCTTGTGTGGTTCAAGCTTGCCTGCCAAATTTTATATGTCGCCATTGGTTCACCTAATTATTGCGGGATTCGCCCAATGTAGCATACGGATTATCCCTGGCACCGCACTGACTGGTAACCTTACCGGCTGTACCGGTTTACACTGTTCGCTTCCTACTTTATGCGAATATGGTAGGCCTCTTTCGCAACAAACCGGACAGCGCGTCCTGTTCCTGCATTCGTTGACCCGGTAGTCTGTCTTTCCGCAGTTATAGCATGCACCACTCCTGTCAACCTCGGAGGGGCATCTCTGCCTAACATGACCGATTGCCAAGCATTTAAAGCACTGCAGTGGTCGTTTTCTGAATGTCTCCACTCTGGCCCAAGTCCATCCGATTCTAACTTTGTTATCCACTGTCAATCTTGCGGCCACTGTGGTGGGACAGCCAGCCCACACCACTTCTAGACCATTCCTCGTGATTCTGATTGCACCAATCTTAATGTTATCTCTGCTACTACTTACGGATGCCATCAATCTAACAATGTCCGTGTGTGTCACGGAGTCATCCAAACCACTAATAATCACTTCCGACCTTTTGGTCGACTGGTCTGTTAACCATTACATTCTTGTCCTCATTTATAAATACCTCCCATAGTCTATCCGCAAGTGCGTCGGCCTTACTCACTTGTTCTTCCCCATATATCTCAAATAACAGCCCTCCTGTGGCCACTCTGCGTATTCGCATATTCTCGAGCTGAAGGTCCTCCAACGATATATTATCCTTTGCTATCGCCATGGCCTCCGCGTACGTGATGCCCTCTCTACATAGCATCGTTACTGCCGCTGCCTTGGGGGGCCTAGCACCTCTTGGTCGGAGAGCCCCTGAGCTCCTCGGCGCAGGCCCTCTCACTGGAAAGGGTCCATATTCTCTTCTTCTATAACTGCGACCCTCGCTATACTCCGCCGCACCAGTGCTCTCCCTATTGTTCTGTCCTATGGCCTCCTCGTCATACATCTCATGTGACTCTGTGTTGTTAAGCTTTCTGTGATATTCATATTTATTCCTATTTGCTTTTGTATTCCTCACCACGTGTGAGTATGTTTCCCTGCCAGTGGTTCCGCTTCTGTCAATCGCACCTCCCGGTGGGTCTCGCACCTCCCGTGCGCTACCCTGTCTTCCAATACTAGGCAGTTCTTTATCTCTAACCACTCTGTATCTTTTTTCCACGATGGATACATCCCTGATTGTGGGCAGCCTAATCTTATCTGCTACGTCCTGTTTCACTCTTTTAGTCGTCATATTGTTCTGCGAGTTTTTATTAGCATCGATTTCTTTAATTTGAGCCTTTAGTTCCTCCAGCTCGCCTTTCAGACTCTCTATCTCCTTTTCTTGTTCCAACGCTACATCCCGCCAATGTGAGGTCTCATCTCCCGCTGCTCTGTCGACTAGTATTTTCATTGCTAGTTTACTCATATGCAGTCTTGTTTTCATTTTACCTTTCATACTGCCTTGCAGGTTTTTCGATGCCGCTCTTGCTTGATCCACCTCGCTCAACCAGGGCAGAATCTCGGTTCCGATGTTCGGGGTATTTCTTTTCTCTATGCTTTCTACGTTTGCGAAGACCAGCTTTTTTTGGTTATGGGACAGCATACTAAACTCTTTATCAAAGTCACTCGATATAACGATCGTTGCCTTCCTCCTTCCTCTTCATACTTCGGCCGCTACTGGCGTCCTCAGCCAGGGTCTTTGTCCTAGGTATCGCTCCTCTTGCAACATTCCCATTTCTCTTAACTGCTGTCATTTTAAAAGGGGTTGGCGGTTTCACACCCCTTCTTGAATCCGTGGTTTCCGACCAATCCTTCAAGTCCTGTTCCTCTGGACATCGCTCCACTTCCATCTCCCTATCAACCGATCTTTCTTGCGTCGGATTATTATCCGTGTTCGGATTATTCTTGTCCAAAAGTTTAATAATGTTTGTTCTATTCTTAATCGGAGTTTCCGAAATTTCTGTGGCCATATGGGCTATTTCACCAATCTTTTCATTGATACGTCTTATCAGAGCGGGATCTATGTTCATCGCCGCCTTTTCCAGACGGACAAAAGCCTCTCTTAATTCTGGGCTAATCTTTTTGAATGTTCTCATCGTTTCCAGCACGGGGATAGTATCCAGTGTCACCTCCTCGTCCCCTTCCGTCTGTTGATTCCACATGGTCTGCGGTAAGGCAGGCCCTGTTGGGGTTTCTTCCACCGGTGTTCTTGTGGGTCCGCTGCTTCTCCTAAACGGTGAAGTGGTTAACTTCAAGTGGGTTTGAATCTCCATAGTCGCACTCGGCGACTCTTCTTCCTTTCCGCTTCTACTAGTGTTGGGAGAATTATTCCCTCTGTCTTTCTTTTTATTTTTACCCATCGTTTATGGGTATCCTTTCCTCTTGCGTCCAATGCAAACAGTGCCCCCAGTGCAAACAAGAAGAGGAAAACAGGACAAAAGGACAGGAGGACAGCAACAGGGCACACCACAGAGACACCTCCCTCCCCAACAGCGTTCTTCGTACTTCGAATAAGGGCCTCCGGTGGGCCGCGCAACTCCCCACCAATATTATGCTATGCACACCAGTGTATGACAACCGATGTAACAGTCCACCATGATGTAGTTACCTCCACGTTTTATCTGTTTCACTGTTTTTACACGTTCGGGCAGCCTACGTGCGCCTTCGAAGTCCCCAACAGTTTTCACAGCGCCCCCTCCGGACTGTACTATAATGTTTATCCTTATTGAGGGTTATACCCAATTATAACTAATCTATTTTATTCCTATAAGCTCTTTACGCTCTCATATAGTGAGAACAGTTCGTAATACCTTCCTAGTTTAGGATTCGGAATTTTCATCAAGTTATTTATTACTATTGCTGCCTCAGTCAGCGCACATTTAATACTCATTTGGAATTGGTACACAACTCTAGGTCAGTACTATCCATTTATAAATAAATTTGAAATTTACCATCATTCGTATCTTTGTAGATCTTAACACTTGTCAATATACAATACCACTATCTTATAGCGTTTTCGATTGGAGTGCACTGGCTGCACTCAGTGTCAAGAGCGTGTTCGATTGGCAGTGCCAATGCGCACTTGGCTAGTGTCACGTGTTCATTTGATCGCACGACACTCGCGCAGTGCGCACTCAGTGCGCACTAAATGGCACGAGATATTTTGACGGTGCCAGTTCAGTGCACGTTTTATCACAGTTAAGGATATACATAGGGACAAGCAAATCTGCGCAGTTGAATTGAAAACGGGGTCTTGTCCCTACTCTTAATATCTTTTACTG